CTGGTGTCTTACCGGGTGTGTGTGTGTGTGTGTGTGTGTGTGTGTGTGCGTGTGGGAGGGGGGAAGGGAGAGAGGGAGAGAGAGAGAAAGAAAAAGAGATGGGATCATAATTTCGCGTAGTGTTAGCAACAGCAGTGGTCAAACCAAGGATAATGTAAATTAATAGCGGTAAGTGCCTTGTAACTGTGTTACTGAGAGCAAGGCGTAAGTACTTTGTAAATTGTGTGTGTATTGTCATATAAATTATTTCTGCATCCTTTCGGGGATAGAGACAACAAGAATGTCTGTGGGATTTTTCAAGGCAAAATTAATTAGAACATATCAAACCTAATGCAAATTTTCCAGGGATTCATCATCACTGACAACATTGAAAAAAAGCATGTAATTTAAGAAACGCATGTTTTTTTTTCTGTTTTGTGTGTGTGTGTGTGTGTGTGTGTGTGTGTGTGTGTGTTTGTGCGTGTGTGTGTCTGAGTGCGCGTGCGTGACAAAAGAAAAATTGACCAATTGCAAAACTGGTGACTTAGATTATGTTGTTACATTGGAGTGACATCTTGGAAAGACTTCAAGTAGCTTTGATTAAACTTACAGATGTCCAAACAATTCTTATAAAGAGTCTTCCAACCGAAGAAATTGCAGTGATTTATTTGAACCGATAAGACTATTTATAGTAAACATTATTTGTTTTTCATCTGTGGTAAAAATAGTCCTCGGGTAACAATATTCTTATCTCTCGACAATTAATCGAAAATCTGACAAATAGATCTTGGGCGAACAAATACCAAGTTTCTCGCATCATTAGACTCCTGAGCAGGAGTTATATTATCTCAGTATAAGTTGACACTTGTTTGTGCACATTCGTGATGTTTTTAAGATGGGTTTTGGGGGAAGATTTCTCGGAAAATTAAATGCGGCTACGCCAAACAACTGTTCTGGTTATTCAAAGTTACTAAGATTTGCATTTAACATATCAAATCAACTGTTTCTAAAAATTAATAATTGCTCATCCGCAATTGAAAAGAAATATTCTCGTTAAATCCCCTCTTTCTCTATCCCCCATTTCCTTCTCTCATACATAACAAACTTGAAGAAACATCTGTGGTATTGATCTCCCTCTCTTATCATTTCTCTCTCTCTCTCTCTCTCTCTCTCTCTCTCACACACACACACACACACGCGCGCGCATAGTTCCTCTCAATTTGCAGTAAAGCAAACTAGTACACAATTTCTAAAACTAAAAATAGTTGCATTAAATCTTTCTCTTTCGCTCTCTCTGAAACAGTGCGGCAAACAGATAATCCACATTTTGAAACATTAAGTACTTTTAGATTTTCCATTTTTGCTCAAAATCGATTTGTGAAAAATGAATGAAAGATGAAAAGGCATGATTAATCGTACACCGCCAGCTTGCCTCTGTTTTTCCCAGGTTTCATCTCAAGTTCACGCATATGCATGCACACTGGCCGGGGAAGTAATAAAGAAGGGGAAGGAAATTGAAAGCCAATCTTATAAACACGAGTTCTATTCTTGACTACAGTTTTAAAATAAACCGTAATTAAATCACACTTTTATTTTAAAATGGATAATTAATATAGGTGATGATAAGGTGAGCATATTAACGATTCTCTCAATCAAGGTTGACGTTAGTAACCGGTTAAAAAATGTTCAGTTGCTTTGCATTCAAGTCAATCATTTTTTTGACAGTTGTTGACGGATTACCTTTATCTTTAAAAAAACTTTTGGAAAAATTAAAAATCGGCGTGATATAAAATCGTTTAAGAGTGGCAATAGAGATTTTTCGTTAAGTTACGGTCGGGGAGAGTGTGATCTATGTGTTACGTTAGATTAAACTTACACGTTTTACTTTACATAGAGGAGGAGGGGGTGACAAAGGAAGCCTTTTTTCAAATATTATAAATTGTCGTTGTTGCCCCTTGCCTGTACTGATCGGCGCTTGATTATTGTGACATCTTTAGAGTAATCATTTTGCAAGTACTAGCTGATAGATGATACCCACAATCGTCTCAGGTGATAAGTTTATTAGAGACTGTGTCTTGTGGTTTTACAGCTGGGTAGTAATAACATACTTTGGGTTCTGGGCGTCCAGAAAGTTTACTGTGGTTTTACATGTAACAAGTCACAGAGGATAAGAAAACAGTTTCCTCGAAGAACATGGCACTTTGCAGTGTCGTGCGGCTCAGTTTTTTTAATAATCTAAAGGCGGCATTTTCAGACATTTCAATCCATTAACTATTGACACTTGCTTATTATAAAATACATTATGCTAAAGAAGCGAAACGACTTGTGTCATACTGGCGAGGGACCGCGAGGGAAGGAGGAAAATTGTGAACTCATCAAAGTGCCCCAGCGGCCGTGAGGATACGGGAGCGACCTGGCCTGCCCTGCCCTGATACTAAAGATTTACACTAAAATAAGTCAAACACTGTAAATATTTTTAGCTATCCGATATATATTTTCCAATTTTGTTTACATCTTTAAGTAATAATTTGGAGATACATGTACGTAAATGTATCCAATGTACACGAGAATGTATCAAGTTTAAAAGACTTCGCTATGATCCTTACACAGCACTCAGTCAATACTCCAAGTGAACTGAATAATTCATTACATATATAACTGTAACCGAATAACTACACGCCTGCGTATCTGTTGTCTAGATTAAATGAAACTTTGTATCGCAAGATATCGATAAGTGCCTATACGAATTTCACTGAGGAATAGGCCTACAATTCAATGTGCTCCAACAGATTTAGGCAAGACATCAACTAACTTCATTCTTTCGGTACAGTTCTTATTCCAAGCATTAAATGAACCGATGTCGGAAACGTTGTAGTTGGTACAGCAGAGCCGTTGGTCAAACGCATGAGTAGACGCCTCTTTACCACACTCATGAGGGGAGCTGTAGAATGTCACCACTCGTTTGCCAGGGGTAAGGAAATCTTTACCGAAACGCTCGCAAGAAATCTGTCCCAAAGACTTCTTAACGTCGACGCCAGCAGAGTTCTTAACTGGGAATTTCTTGGCAAGTCCTTCGTCTCCTAAGGTTAATTTAGCAAGTCTCTCGCAATCAATAGGACAGTCTCTAAGAACGCGTAGACAAGTGTAGAGATCAGGTAACTTAAGTTCACGTCGCACCAGCCGGGTTTTGTAGAAATCTGGAAAGCGGTCAGTAATCGGGACAGGGACAGTGGCGTTTGATTCCAGCACCCAGAGCCCCTGAAACCCGTAGATTAGGGTGGGGAACTCGTAGAGTATGGCACCGGGGGCCGTGCTGTTTATCTCTGCCCTCAGACGACATTCGCACCTGTAAATATTATTAGTGAATATTGGTTTTTGGTAACCTACATGTACAACAGCTTACATGTTATCTGGTGACGACACAAAGAAACAATAAATTTCTAAAATAAGTTAATGTACCGTTTATGCATCTCCTGAAAATACATTGATCTTTGTCATTCAAGCTCTTCTATTGATCCCAGTAGGCTAAAACAAACATCGTTATCTTGTTTGTGGGTCATCTTAAGAATTGTAGCGGATGAAAACGTAAATGCACTGAGAATTGAAAGGATACAAGCATTAAATATTGTTGCCATATACTAGAACCGTTTGAAAATAATATGATCTCACCTTTTGGTTGTCGGATCAGTGGGTTTCTCCTCTGAAGTACAGAATGAGAAAAACTATGACTGCGATGTTAAAATGAAAAATAAGAGTCGGAACTGTAAACAATAATTTATTATATTTTTTCAACAAGATAATTCTATAAATATAGGCTTACAATGAAATATCTTATTCATTTATGTGATCCTTTAACATATATTTCTTTGATTTCGTATAATCCAATTAATATCTCGTATCAAATTAATAATTTTAAAATGGCCCAATTGATATCTAAACCGTCCTCCGTATCTTGTCCCACCTAAACATTGGAAGCCGTCCCCAAAGTATCCGAGTTTGCAGGTACATGTGTAACTCCCGAACGTATTGGTACAGTCAGCGTATTTGGAACATGGTGTGGTTTGGTTCCGACATTCGTTCACATCCTTGTCTAAATACAATGTAGATTATATTTTACACATGGTTCAGACTGCAGCAAATATAATTTAGTTTTTCAACATGGAAATAGCAAATTTTAGTCAAGAAAAAAATTTAGTTAATAAGCCAATGGTATGACAAAAAACTTTCCCTATGAATATTCAGAAATATTCACTTTAACACACTTTTCATTTTATCATTTGTGTGTGTTATTTCCACATCTGCTCTTATAATATTTGTACCTGTGAATCTTGTTTATAACTGGATTAAAAAAGCTGACATACCACATGTTTTCATATCATCCCCCATTTTTAAATTGGGAGGACAATCGCAGACGACACCTTTGTCTGTGTCATTGCACCCGTGACTGCAGTCACCATTGTTGATAGTGCAAGAAGTTCCTGAAGAGAGGAATCAAAACCTTTGATAGATTAAATTTTAACATTTTATCCATGTCTCAAAATTAATTGATAGAATAATAAAAATAGTGGCTAAATTGAGAATTATGTTTTACAATAAGTATATTAAACAAGAGCTGTTAAGTAAAAATTAACACAAAATTTAACACACAATTTTAAATTATGCTGAGAGACTAATAGCAACGTGAAAGAATGATATTTGAAAAACAAGTGAACGTCCATACTGCATGTTTTCCTGTCTGTGGCGAGTACCAGATTTGCCGGACAACTACAGGCGACATCGCCTTGTCCATCTTCGTGACAATAATCACTGCAACCGCCGTTGTTGGTCTGGCACTTGCTTACTGAAAATACGTAATAGACGCATGAATCAACACACACACAAAATACTCATGTCGTACATGTCAAGCTACAGTAATGGGAACGGGGATTTTTTTAACATTTTACACCACTGGCTATATCATGGTACATTTCATAGTCCATCATGTGCTGTGGAATATAAGTTGTGATAATTTTTGTATCTTTCTACTCACTGCACGTCTTATTGTCTGTGCCCAGAGTCAGGTAAAATGGACAGCGACAGGTAGTTGTACCATCAGCTTGGTTGACGCATTTATGACTGCAGCCAGGGTTGTTGACTTGGCATGGTAACACTGGAGAAAATATTCATGTGTGAATACAGCATTTCAGACAGATAACACAGGTAGCGGAATACGTGTGTGTGTGTGTGTGTGTGATTTATTTATGCCACAAGTCTGGTCAAATTCGTTTCGGTTAAATGCCTTAGAAGAATAAAGAGATATTTTACTGCATTGCCATGACTAAAGTGACAGTTATCAAATGTCAGCCGTTTGTTTTATGCACCCTTAAAACCCTCCTCAAAAACAAGAGGTAAACAAAACTGACCACACTTGTCCCCAGACTTGACCATATCAGGTGGACAGGTGCACTCAAACTTCCCATTATTGTTAACACAGCCGTATTTACAATTACTGTCCAGGCACGGGTCACTGCTGTCCCTCACTGAAACAGAAAATATGTCTAACTGCAATGGAATTTACTAAAACATGCCATAGCTCAGCTTGGATCACTGTACTGTGGAGATGAATGAGATGAAACAATTTTGCAATCACATGTGAATGCAGGTATGCACAAACAATTCTAACCAAGCACACTCACGCGCTCCAGTTCGTGTCACGTCCCGCTCGCAACACATGTCAATTCCCCAGCCCGACCTGTACACTCTGATAAACTTGGGTAATTTGGTTTTTGTATATTTTAAACTTACCTGAGCACACCGCTCTGTAACCCCAGTGTTTTAAATTGGGTATCCTGTACACATAATATCCACCAGAACATTTCTTCACGTAAATGATGTCCCCTTCAAATCCGGAGTTCTCACTGGGAGTGGTGCAGCAGTAGCTGGATGAGGATCTGGTGCAAAGTGTGTGTTTGACTATTCCTTCAGCCGCTGAAGGGTGATCTCCTAGCATCCACATAGGGTAATGGGTGCCACAATGGTAGAGGGAAGGGCACTTCGAAAAAAAAACAGTATTAAAAAGGTCGTTTGTTGAACATTAACTGCTTGTCTTATCCATAAAAATAGGAAGGATGTATGACTTAATTCAGAAAAAAATATTCTTGTAAGTTCTTTCCTTTAATTAGTATAGTTCCTCTAATCAGCACCCATAAGGGTTGTTGTTAAACCTTATTTATGAAATTGTGTGTGGTTATCCAGATTCATTCTTCTTCATTGTTTTACTGCAATGTATATAGAGAAAGAAAATCAGTGACATTAACAACAAACCCAAATAAAAGATATGCCTTGCACATAGTAGTAATAAAGTTACACATTTGGACTGCAGAAGAAAATAATTAACAAGCGTTCAAAGACACATTATTGAAGAGCAGAGTAGTTGAGGAAACAAAGGATGATACTGAGCACCGATAACATCAGATCGAGTATGGGAAATGCCTTTAACAGCTCAAAACTTTTCCAATATAAATAAATCTACAAAATATATAGATCTAACCTTGATAAAACTAGAGCAAATGTCCACGTGTACTTTATAGACATACAAACCTTAAAAGGTTCAGAAATGTGAGTTATAACCCAAAGTCTAAACTTAAATATAGCTGATATACATCTTTAGCCTAATTTCCTGCTGTAGGTTAATTTATAGCCACCGGAATATAATCAACCAAGCAATATAACATCTTTTAGTTATAATTAACTCGCGTGAAAGAATTTTTTAATCAAACTTGTATACGATTATTTGATTTTAACGATGTAAATGTACATGTATTATGATATGCAATGATCATTGTTTAGATTTTTAAAAAACCAAACACATTTACATGCAAATACTTTTCATACCGTGTTTGCCACCTTATTTCCTGCTTCTCCTGTGATGCGAAACCAATCGCTGGTCATCCCATATTCCTCATAATAATATCTAGAACTGCCGTAGCTGATTTTCCTCCAAGGTTCATACAGTTCAATATAATCGTGGCAAGGGCTATCTGAAATCAATTAGACAAACAAATTTCTTCGCAATAACCCGAACTTTTTAGGGAGGTGTGCAAATAATCTACAGATTTAGTGTAAATGGATGCACTGATGGTACACACGGCGAATTTAAAAATCATATCACTTAAATTCTGACGTTACACTTTGTTATTCCATCTTAAAACATACCCCCTGTTAACGCCAGTACCGATTTGGCTACACACAAACACAGCGAAACAAACGTCAGCATCTTTATAAAACTGGTGAATGATCTATTACAACTGAATACTGTACATAGATTTGTATATAACCATCGCTCTCCCAATAAAAAAACGTTTATCTTTTCTTCAATTCTTGAATTGTTTATTCTATTGGTTGATATGTCGTCATGTATTAACAGCGTTGTTACTGTCATCATTTCACGATATAACCCTGCGAAATGATAGACGCACGGTATCAGGTGTTATTCTTGCTAGGAGTTTTATGGGCCCCTGTTAGAGCAAACGGTAGGTAATCCAAATACCTTGATATTTTTTTATATTCAATCGATAAATTCGCAATTGGATCTTAGTAGCAAATCGAAATTAGCCACAATTGTAGCCCATTAATTCTCATGGAACGCACATTCGCTCGTTAAGTCGCCTTGAATCTGATACTTTTCTAACGCTGCATGGTAACAGTGGCCTTTTACGACACGTCAACTACATTTTTGTGATCCAATTCAATATTTTCCTGAGTCCAGTATCACAACTTTATTTAGTAAGTTATTCGAGTTTAGCAGCAGGGACTAAACCTGAAAATTTCAATCCTTTTGAAATGGAATAATTGGTCTGATATTTAGCACCTTTTTACTAAGTAGATTGAACAAAGTCGTTTTTGAACTTACACAGCAGCCCATGATTTATATTAAAGAATCCTCTCGGTTAAACAGATGACCCGTGTCACAGCTATCAACCCATAACTGACGAATGGAGGAACATTAACTACGGACAGAAATATTTCTGTGATATCACTCACCGGTGGCATGGCTGGTACCGCTTCATGGGGAGGGCTGGCAACAAGATGCCCGATTCGGTACAGTGATGCATTTTGTATCTCCTAATATATGTATTTTATATCTCCTAAAATATGTCTGCTTTTCCCCAACTTCTTCACCACACATACAATCGTGCGCGTTAGCCCTGAACTGACATAGTTGTTTTACGTCATGACTCTTTAAAAAGTAATACTAGGGACTTTTATTCATTTGAAGAGAACTTAAAAAATTAAAACAATAAATTAAATAAAAATCTTGGCCATCGTGTATTTACCAACCATAAAGAAGTTACGTTTTGTTAAGAGTATTTTTATATAACATTAAAGCTACAAAAGTGTGTAAAATGTACTCTCCCAGGCGCCATCACAGAGGCATTGTGGCACATCATACCCCATCTGGTTATCCGGTGGTCATCCAAAGGTCAGCAATGGCATAGTGTCACGACGACTGTGCACATACTATTCCTCCTATACGTGCACCACTAGTTCGCAACATGGTGCATTTCAAGTGTATGAATACGCCAAGGTGAAGAAGTGCCCAGGAGGATACTATGTCTACCAGCTGCCAAATCTGCAGTTCACGTGTAATAGGGCATTCTGTGCAGGTATGATTTAAAATATGTCTGTATGCCTGCCACTCTGTCATGCCCTCTTTCTTTTGTCTTTAATGAAACCCAAGGGAATGGTTCTGTTTGCTTATTACTCCAAGCACTGTACCGGGACGCACAATAGGTGGGAACTTCGTGGTGGGAATTGCCCATGTCAACTCATCAGCATCTTGCTAATTTGTTCTGTGTAAAATGTTGCAAGTCATGAAAGATTAGACATCGAAACACACGGTAACTTCTGTTATATTTACATGTTTTCAACTCACACTTGATAATCGATTTGCACTAGTTTTAACGAACCATGAAAGCTTGCATATTTTTGTTACAACAACTTAAAGTATTATTCATTTAAATCGCTTGATTATTGTTTAATGCTATATATTACAAATTAATCAGTTAAAGACACCAGTGACCCTTGCCTGGACAGCAACTGTACATACGGGTGTGTCAACCAAAATGGCCAGGCGCAGTGCACGTGTCCAGCTAACGTACTCAACTCAAACAGAAACCAAAGTTGCGGTGAGTAGTATTTTGCTCAGTACAATTTCACTCATTTTCAATATATAATTCAATTTCACATTTTAAAATTTCATTAAAAGTAAACTAACGTATCTGACACTCGCGGCACCATCTCACATTCTCCAGTCGATCTGGGTTACCAAAACAGAAAATCCGCAACTTGTCGGGAAAGGAGTATGGTATCTATCGTCTCGGATAATGTCTGTGTATTTTAAATAACTCAATAAGCAGCTTGCGGCAAATTTCAGGGTGTGGCCGGGTTTTTAAAGATTGAAAAAACCTTCGTCACGTCTTGTACGCAGGTCATTATTTTAAGCTTTTGGTGTTTTTTTATTTGTAATATTTTAGCCAACAATAAAACCCTCAGTTCAGTTTCATTCATCTTTAGCAAGACGAAATTAAGACAGAGAACAGTCAAATGTTTTACACGAAACACGGCAAAACCGAATTCTCATAAAAATAATTTGTTAAAACTTCATTGCCATGCATTCTGAAAAAATATACTTAAATTTCGGGACAAAATGTGTCAGTAAACGTAACGTGCATCTTATATACACTGTACCCCTTTAGCGCAGTCTAATTTTTCAGTATTAACTACTGTACATACGAATATTATCCAAAAGGCTTGCTATTTTTAAGTTTAGTTACTGAATACGAAAACTCCCCATACTAGCAAGGTATTAATTTTAACATTTGCAATGATTTACCCAAAAAGCAAGATTTATCACTCTCTGACACCAGAAACTTAGAAAAAGTAGAATTCGCAAATATAAACATTTAACTTCATTATTCACTTTCTTCAAATAGACCTATATATTGAAAACGAGTAGGCCTAATTACATTATCTTAAATGATTTGAGAGAGAGAGAGAGAGAGAGAGAGAGATGAAACGCACACACACATTATGTTTGAATTTGGTTATAGAATACACTGTACACAAGGCGCACATTGGATGTGGTTTACTTTCAGTGTCCCCATGCTCAGGTAACAATGGCGGATGCAGTCATACTTGTCGGTCACAAGGAGCTGGTAGCAAAACATGTGAGTGCCCGGAGACCATGGAGTTGGACAAGAACCAAAAAACGTGCGGTGAGTACATCTTAAATATCAAAATGAAAAAGCAAAAAACACATGGTTTTTACAGATTATTTTACTCTCAAAACTTTCCGTGTTTTGTTTTAACTGATACAGTACAAAGACTACGAAAACTTATAAGGTAAAAAATTAACGGCATTCCAAAGTGAAACAAGGTCAGTGGACCTATAGTTACTAGTTACTTTACACTGTATGGATTTTATGTCTCTTTGATCTAAGCCAATTTAAGTAATAAGACGTGTCAGGTAAAAGAATAGAACAAACTCTAGCACAATGTTCGAAATGTGGCCGATGACGGCCGCATTTATTAAAGGACCCATTAATAAAAAGAAATGAAGCGGATTTGTGATAAATATTTAATAGTGTTAATTAATGTTATTAGCGTAATGTGTAAGCCTGAAACATCTACATTTAAAGTATAATTTCCAAACAAATAGTGGGGTTGCAAAGAGACCGTTTTTTTTTTTTCAGTGGACCCATGTAAGAGATACAAACTACTAGATCAGGAATGGAGAAATGCTCAGTATGGTTCAAACTATTATTGTGACGATTTGAAAAGTTTCGAAGGCTGGTACAGATTCGTGAAAGGTGCAGGCAACCGGATGGCGGACTCGGCAAGTTAACAAATGGCTCTTGAATGATAACAATATAGCATGTTACCTGTAAATGGGTTTCTCACCGTTAAACATGTACCAATTAGGCCCTACATTAGTTGCAAGTCCAGTTTTTGTTTCTTATCCCGCCTATATCACTCAGCAGCACATCCCATTCACTTAAGGTTCACGGAGGTATAAGCTAGATTTAAGTAGCCAAATGTTCACAAGCACAACGAAGCTCTGTTTTTGCTCCAAAATAAGTAAGATAAGTCCATATGACTGAAAATAGTCATTTATTAATAACGAAAACTAATAAGATACAAAGTTACAAAACTGGTGAGATAATCTAACATTCCCCAAACTATATAAGTGCCATAATGTAAAATTAATAAAGTATGTTAATGACTGTTACCATGATTAATTAAGAAAAGTATGAGAAATCACAACCGGTATAGGAGCAAAAAGTTGGCACAAATGAAAAAGGATACAAATAAAAATATAAAAATGAAAGTAAGTTAATGAGTGTCACCGAGATTAATTAAGAAGAACATGATAAACAAAAACAACCATTGAAGCAAAAAGTTGGCACAAATGAAAAATAAAAACAACACAATGATGAATGCAGGTGGTAGGGGATGGTGGAGGGTGTACAAATAACAATAAAGAAACGCAAGTAATAATACAGTGTAGCTGCTAAAACTGCGGTAAATGTCTCCGCAGCCAAAAAGCTGAATGACTTCTCACTGATGCAGCTCGATAGAAATAGTTCCCAAAACATTTTTCATAAAATATAAATGTGTGTGCCTAAATACACACCAGCTAAGACATTCCATAACCCTGGACATCTGTTATCACCTTGCCTTGGTCAACTACTTAAGGTCAAAATGTGCAGACACAAGACCCAAACTAAGACTATTTCCTATAAACAAAACGTTGATGTATTATCAAAAAGTTATTACTACCACTAAAACAAACCATTCCCTACATAAATACAATTAATTATTTAATTGTAGTTTTACGTTCCCGAGCTGGACTCGCTTTTACATGTAAGTGCCAACAATAATTAGTCAGTAGGGTGGTCTGGAACCAACATCAATTAACAACTAACATATTGTATAGAAATTAAATTGATACTGTGCCTTCTTATCCAAAATGGAAAAACTAAATTATATTTACAACACCACTTACATTGAAGAAAAAAATGCTTTCTGTCTCCAGTGTGTGTCCTGGGGTCATTGTGGAGGAAATGGTAAAACACGTTGGCTCTTAGGAGGTCATCCTACAGTGAAGGACGGCATCGTCAAAAGGAATATCTGTACTCGGTCTTCTAGCTCCAGGTGTTCCTGTTACTTCAACTCGCACACCACCTTTGACTACGCCATGGTGCGGAAATGTCCGGGCGGGTATTATGTGTACAAGTTCCCTCAGTTCCAGTGGCAATACTGCCATGTTAACATTTGCGGAGGTATTTATACCAGGAAACCCAAATTTGTTATGGCCGATCATTTGGGCAGATGTAACTTAATCTTTATCATATTTTCAATTTAATGAGTTGAAACGAAAGTTTTATTTAAACTTTATTTTAATTCAAATTAAATACCTCCCATTCTCCTCTTAAATTGATATCCAAACCCTGTGATGTATTTAACTAAATATCTGAGGCAGATGTTTCGTTTCCTTGAATTAAAATAAATTCACTCCCTGTACATCTATATCAGAAGACCTGTCACCAGCCTAGGTGTCCAATCTTATAGGCACTGGAAGTGTATAAAATATATGTGCATGAGCGTTTGGAGAAAGGGATTTCTCGCCAGGCCTCAACTTTTAGAGCCATTTCGATCGTATTATGTGTCTTCTCCTATCATGTGCGCCATTGCGGTCCTGGTATATAATTATATTATTCTACATTTCCAGTGACCGACACCAGCGACCCCTGTCTGAACAGTACTTGTACTCACGGCTGTACTGGTGACAAAGGGAGCCCAGTGTGTACGTGTCCTAGAAACCTGGTGCTGGCGGAGGACAAGAACACGTGCAGTAATATATCTGTGCTTGGGTTCCCATACGCCCTGTGTTTATGACATTATTTGCATGCATGGGGGACGATTATACAGCGTTTCTTTGTCTTGTAGGCCCCCTATTAAAAAGATAAGCACTTTACTAGATCAAAATTAATGTATCGTCTCACCCAGCAGGCATAGTTGCGTTGGATCAACGTTGAAAACAGGTTGATACGTTGAATTGCCGTTGATCTACCTAAATTCAAAGTTAAATCAACGTTGATCCAGCCACGTTGACTCAACGTTGTATTTTTGTCAATGACAGAACCTTGCAGTTATGGATTGTAATTTAAAATATTAATTATTGAAAACGTGATACTTTGTTTATCAATACTGTAACTAAATTTATCAAAATAATAACAAAATGGTTTTAAAGTAAAAGTGACAGTTGTTTTGTGTCTTTAGTTAACTAGTGAATTTTCTTAACTTGTTATTCAGAAATACATTCCAATAAACTGAATTGCTTGCAAGGTCAGCTAACACTAGGATTAATAAGTTGCTGTAAATGTGATGGAGTTAACAGTTCTTGGTAGCCTGTTAAAGAGAGACAGGTTGAGGTGGCTGTGACCTTGTTATATATATAACATCTATATATGTTAATCTAAACCTTGGAAAGTTTAACTTAAAGGCCATACATTTATACCCTACATACATTTAGCCATCAAACATGTCCTACTGCAAAACACATCCAGGCAAATTTCCCGCTGGGTGGGGTTGATATAACATTGTTTTCTGACGTTGATACAACGTTGTTATCTGAGGCTGACACAACGTTTATTCAATGTCTTTTCAACGTTATGGTTCAACGTTGTTTCAACGTTAAAACAACATAATTTGCCCGCTGGGTCATATACTTAAGTGCTCGTTCATTTACCATTACAATTGGTGTATTTAGTGTACAGTCACGTACAGGTATAGTTACCGGTAAGTAAAAGCTAAAATGTCTGAGCCTAAGCCAAATGAATCACCAGTGATCTGCTGCAAATGCATTGGTTTATTATTCGTATCATGGATATCAAGAATGAGGGGTGTGGTCAAAAATCTGATCCGTGCCCACCCATCTCCGCCCCACCCCCTATGTTGAATTATCACATTACCTTCATTTACAGTATCCCCATGTGATATACACAATGGTGGATGTAGTCACAGTTGCCATAGTGACATGAATGCTACCATCACATGTACTTGCCCACCTTCACTGGTTCTGGCGAGAGATAAGAAGATTTGTGGTAATACCTCATAACTTCGTACAGGTTGTAGCCGCGTGATACCAAGTTTAACTTGAATCACTTAATGCATGTACAAGCTCTTGCTGGTACTAGACAGGCATACAGAAACGTGTGTCAAACGCCAAATAAATTTGATACATGTATGCTTTTTATAGTTGTTTAATTTTTGTTGCATTTTTAATCTTATAATCAGCTCATCAAAGGAATAAACTTTGGCATGAAAACATGGTTTTGATCTGTGAAAAGAATAGGCTATGTGTAAACAGTGGAGCTTTCTTGAAACAGCACATATTAAAAAAACAATGTCATTAATATAAGTCATTATTTTCAGTAACTCCATGCCTTTACCAAAATGGAGGTTGTAGTCATTTCTGTGTAGCTGACAATAAGGGGAAAATATCCTGTGGGTGCCCGGCAAATCTGGTGTTAGCGGAAGATAAAGAAACGTGCAGTAAGACGTTTTGGTGAAATTTAGTAAAGCAACCCTCAGTGATGGAAAGTCCCTAGGAAATTTTAAACACTGTAATGCCATCCATTCTTCTGTTATGGTTTCGAATAACAAAGTTTGTACTAAATAAAGTAGGCCTATTAGGTTATTCAAAATTTTACCACACGTTATTGACTTCTCGAACCGTTAAATATAACTGCCTTATGCAAATTGAATTCAACAAATTTCATATTGTATTGAAGCGCCACCTTCTCCCACAAACATTTTTTCTATGATCACGAGATTCATTATTTTTGATCTTCTCTTCCAGTCAGCACATGCCGCATCAACAATGGCGGATGCAGTCATAACTGTACTGATAGTAACACTGGCGCCATCTGCAGTTGTCCCGTCAGTTGGGAACTGGGGAATGATAAACTTACTTGTGGTATGCGTTCATTCAGATTTAGCTTGTTCTGTGGTTGCGTCGCTTGCACAAAACTTCCACTTCACATGTATTTCCATACAAAGCCACGCTATATTGAAGGTCACATCAGTACACGTCATTCATGTACATCCTTAATTTACACGCACTTGACCAGTACGCACACGTACAAGAGCGCTGTACACGTAATTTACTGGCAGACAGTGCATGACTGATGACAATTAGGCTACATAGTTGTTACTCATGTCATTTTTTTATATTTTCAGACCAGGACGCCAATGAGTGTAAAAGAAACCCTTGCTCGCAGCACGCGACGTGCATCAACACGCGTGGCTCCTTTGAATGCGTGTGCAACGTGGGATATGCTGGAGACGGGTTAAATTGTCACGGTAATGGAAATTTTTTACTGACACTTAATAATGTTTGGTTTTTGTATCTTTAGCAAATAGGTTTTTTTCTTTTTGCATTTACGTTCTTAGTTCTGATTACGTTCTGATTACCTTATTGTCACTATAGAAAAAATTAATGTTGCAATATTCAAGTAAACATTTTTGGCACTTGGTGATTTAAAAACCTTTCTTCTTAAAAGAGAATTAATGACGTTTGGTTTGCATTCACGCAGTATTATTGCTGACGTAGGCCTATGCACAAAAAGGGTAATTTCATGAATTTTAAGGTAGCACATACCTTTCCATTCCAGGTGAGAAACCAACTGATACAAACATAAGACGGTGAGTATTTTACGATTCTCAGTGCATCCTCATCCATCACATTCTTCTAAACTATGTTCTATATATATATATATATATATATATATATATATATATATATATATATATATTATTTACCTCGCATGCATTTCAATTGTGATCTAAGAAAGCTGGGGGGACAACTATTTACACCCAGAAGATAACGTTACTGTAATAAGACATTCTGTTTGGCCTCAAAATTGTTGCAGCATAACTGCATCACTGCATTATTATAATTCTGTTGATTTTTCTCTTTCCAGTATCATTGTAAGAATCTACTTTTAACAGTATTGGCATCTAGTATTGTACATTTGTTTTTTGTTCAAACAGTTGCCGATGCCGACTCAGAGCTGAAACCAACAGCACCGCTCAAGGTCCTATCTTGTTTGACCTCCCAACATTAATCTACGGCCACAAGACTCTGTGGGCTACAGACATGTATGGCAACGACAGCGCCGCTTATGTCATCACGGACAAGTACTCCAACTTCTACAACACTCGGCGCAAACGCGACGTCATAGACAACCAAAGGGACCTCCTCACTTGCCTCAAAGTACTTCGCAAATGTCCGGCTGACTGCGAACGTCTGGCAAGAATCATCGTGGGAGATAACCTTGGGCTTGATACCAGGCTTCTGGTGGAGAATTCGGCTCAGGCCCCAGTCTACAAAGCCATGGGTCAGATTATGTGCGAGACGTACAACCATCACATTGACCCCCCAGGGAAGAGAGTGGTAGTGTTCTACAACCCGGGAGAGGACTGTGGGGAAGAACTGAGCACCTATGCATCAAAGACGTATCTCTGCTGTAACTCGGAGGACATCTTTGATCTCGGTCAATTGACTTTCTGGAACCGGAAGTGCAAGATGGGGATGAATCTAAGAAAACTTCTCGTTGGCTAAATGTGTGAATGTTACAGCAGAGGGAATTTAAAAAAAGCTGTATAATCATTATTCAGTCAAACACTACATGACATAAATATAAACTTGCCTGAGACATTGCGATTAAATCGTGTATATAACCTGGACATTTGGACTGGAACTATGCACCTTAATAAGGCCTACACATGAAAGCACTTTGAAGATTTGAAAAAAGGCCTTATTTAAGAATGAAACTTTGATTTGTGAGAATATTTCAAATTACAATTTATGACCATAGAAGAATATCAAAGTCTTATTTCTTATTTGGTATAAACAGAAAGGAATATTAATCAGGAAATAAAGTTTGTCTTATACTTGATTTCATTTTGCTTTAATTTATTTTGAAAAGCATTCTGGCACCATCTATCGCGTTACTTTATATTAGAGCAATCAATATGAATATTTTGAAAAAATCAAGTTGCTGGCAATCTTCATGTCGCTGTTCAAAGAAACTATCGAAAGTGAGATAGCTTGCTATGAAATCTCACTTTTGGCTCTATGTGACGTTCCCGTAACTTCAATCTCCATGACACATAACTGCACAGCCTACCTATTGGATTTCGTTATCCATATTTCACCTGGCAAATATGTTAAAATATGCATCTTTCAAGTACTGTCAGGAACTATATCTCCACTTTTTGTCAATCTATGAATTTGACCTTTAAATTATTATAACAATAACTTAATTAAGCATTTAAGGTAGCTAGTTTACGTACCCTCTAACCTAGCAGTATTAAGCAGACTGTGAATTCCAAACACAAAATAACATAATAATTGAATTTCCGTTATATAGACACATTTTATCGGTTTTTGTTCTCACTAATGAGTGCATATTTTGTACAAATGCTTTGTGCTATCACAAGTATGTTCTACTGTAAAAATGTGCTTTAATTCGAAAACTCTCCTGTAAGTTAAAAGTATCCTCTATCAACGAGACGACAATATGAAAGCACCATTGTGCATACAACAGTTAAACTCGGATCTAAGCAAAACGTAACAACTATCGCAATGCAGAGAAACCGTTCCAGGCTTTCAACCAGCGAGGGTTGCAATTGGTAGATGTTGTTTGAAAGAAAATAAAAAGCCTCCGGCAAAACTGCATTATATCTACTTTGAATGTCATAATTACAGTATGACGAAAGCCGGTCAAGTGTTTCTCGCACAGTTTCGCTCGGCAAATATTGAAACAATTTTTGGACAGAACGAAAGAGCTTTTGTATATTGTATTTTGTCACTATAAGTTTGTTTCATTCGATGGAATTATATCATTGAAAATCAATATTTTATCTTGGTGAAGAGGGTAGAACCCCACCCCGTCCATCAAATTAACTGACACAATAAAGATGTCGCAGTATTAAAAATTGGCGAAATTTCATCCTTCATATAGCATTAAAAGCCGTTTGACATCGTAGAAAACTAACCGGCGATCTTTCAATTTCAAGTATAAAGTAGCATTCATGTTATATTATAACCAGGTTAATTAAGCGTGACAATGTTACATGGCGTAGCATTTAAATGTTGCAGCAGGTGCTCGAAAGAAAATGTTAACCTTGGTAAGAATCTCTCCTCTGTCTTAAGGTATGTGACAGTGGCTTGTGCAGCATTACGAAAATGTTAAAGCTAAAAGGTTAACGCTCACTTAGGCAAATCAACAAGAGGCTAGAAATACTGCCGTAATAACATTATAATTGTAAGGACCATTATCACGTCGGGGTGGGCTATGCAATTAGACTTTTTGTAAGAGATTTTTTTAAAAATCTGTTGACTTGTAACTGATTATTTACATGTATCTTCCTCGAGCTCTAATTAAGACTAATTTCTACCTGGTTGAAGAGGAAGGTAACACATGCCACTTAAAAGGTTGTTAGGTCATTGCCATGCATAGTTATCGTTTTATGGTCTGTCTGAAGTGGGAGAGAAGCTGTATACCTACTGGATAGTGAAATAAGGCATACTGATTAAGGTGCCCGTGGCATGCGCTCGTAGGCTTGCAGTGTCTACATTGTAGACCTTGAATACATGTATAGTGCACTGATTTTGCTTGCCACCATTGCCTTAAACATGTTTGATTGGCATTTTGTCTCCATCTTAGATATTTTCAACAAAATCTTTACTCATTCGTAAGTGATTTTGTTATTAGAGCACAGAATAGAAAAATTCTTATCATTAGTACTAGTAGTCTCACAGTGCACCATAAAACACAGGAATAGACAACACTAAAGCGGATATGTATGTTTTTAAATTCAATACATGTAATACAAGGACAAGTTATTAGTGCTGTTACAATGCTCATGAATCAAGTGTGAAAACCAACTAAACAGACAGAGTTAGGTCCTAAAGTCAGACACCAAAGGTCCACGTCTCAGTCCAGATCAAACATGGATATATCTGCAACAGGTATTAGCCTACCTTCCTTGGACTAACAGGTACAGGCCCGTAGCCAGCAAATTCATAAGGGGGTTCTTTTTCTGAAGAAGTGGGCCTTTAACAATAAAACTTATGTATACATAGATAAAATTTTACCCAAAATGGACCTCTTCCTGACAAAAGGGGCGGTTCTTTCGAACCCCCCCGACCCCCCCCCACCCCCCCCACCCCCCCCACCCCCGGCTACGGGCCTGAGATAGCGACAGAGGTATATTGATTGCGCGTAGTACATGTAGAAAGGTAACTGGCAAAGGGAGATAGGAACGCTCCTAGCCATGCAAAATTTAAAAAAATTAGGTGAGCTACTTGTTGTCATAAAAATATATATTTTGAATCAGGTTGCATGCAGTGTGTATTAAGGTGCAATATTTCAGCGTGTTGTAACCATAACACAGCGCCCAGATGCTTGAGCCTAAATAAATAAAGAATAATATGACAGAGAAAACAAATTTATCTTTATCATGGCTATATGTGTACTACGCACTCGTGCAATGTGGCAGAAGAAAAACCTGTTACCACACATTCATAGCACTGATAGGCTGGATGGAGATGGACAACATTCGTGTTTGTTAAACTCTTGACTAATCATAATTACTTACATGATATCCGTCATATCTGAGCCAAAATAAACTTGGGGTTAGGACTTTCTTAGTTTTCAGGGGTATTTATTGGAACCTTGCTTCTGTGAAGCTTTCATTATATATTTACAAATATTTGTGGCGGCTGAAGTGCTTGAAGTAGATGAATTATTGAGAAAAGTTCCTATTGGAAGGATTCAAAATATTTTGATGCACGAGAATCTAGGTGGTTAAAGAATTTAGGAGACAAATCAAATTGAAAACGAGAAGAGATTGAAATCATAAAGATAGGACTATATCTGCAGCGAGCGTGGGTTCCCAGTGAAACACATAAAAGCACTTTTACTAGTTTCTTTTACGACTCAAATTAAGTCGACATGCCACGGGATAAACCGAATCGATCACTTAATATGCCATGAAAGAACTTTACAACTACACCTCCTTCACTTTTTTTGTCGTAAATTGACCTACTTATCTGACCTGTAAATATACAGCACAGGAAGTGAGCAGAAAATATCCATTCATATTTTATTTTTGGGGTAATATGATACGATTTTCAACTGGTATTTCTTCAAGTTATACTATTTGAACTTATATGTAGGAATTTCGTCGGCTTTTTTTGGAAAATATCGAACTGCCAGTTCATATTCAACCAAGCTCAGTCAAATTACATTAACTTACTGAAAATAC